TGATGCGTTTCAGAAAGGCGGGGCATAGAGGAGCAACAATAATGTACAGTATGTGGAAAATAATGTGTTTTTTTAACCTTAAACCGCATAAATACTGCATTACACCAAATAATGTTTTTTAGCAACGTCTTATGACCCCTTTAATCAGCACTGTGTTGTATTTTCTCTTCCGCCATCGCTGTTCTGACTCAGAGGAAGCTAATTTGCTGCTCATATGGCACTCATATTACGCGTATATTATATATAATATATTGTTATATAGATCAGTGGTTTTTACCCCGTCTCTTCCAATGACGAACTTACACTAGTGGATGGGTAACGCTAGAATAATGTCTGAATAAAAACAAAAGAATAATGAGGATTATGTCTCATAACCGTCCTGGTAGAGGTCGCAATGCAAAGAGGAGAAAATACTCTAGCAGTCAGAGCAGCTCACTGTTCACAAAATATCTGATCCTGAATATTGAATTAGGGGTGGGGGTTTATGTGAATGTATCTCTGAGAGGAACTGACTGTCTTCAGAAAAGTTTAGATATTTTCTTTTCATCTTTTCTCTGTATAATGCATATTAAAGTAGTGGTTATAAATGCCTCGCTGCTTTGTTTACAGCGGTACCCAAGGGAATGCTGTATGGCTGTTGTTCCATAAGCACCTCCTGCTGTCAGAATTTGCATTTTCATTTAGCCTGTCTGCTTGATAAAGCAGAAAGCTTAATAAATGTGATAAACCGTGAAACCGCCAGAATCCTAAAAAACAAAAACAAAACCGGTGATACAGATTTTTGGTCAAACCGCCCAGCACTAGTCAGGTAACTATAGGTCTTTCACCAGTGGGAAATGTTTTAGCAGAAAGCAGCTCTGCCTCAGACTGCACTCTGTCTCTGTGTGGAGCCTGTAGGCGGGAATGAATGAATATGATCCGCCAGTTCATGATTTGGCTGCCTTCCTTTCTAGGGCATGAGAACATGTGGTTGTGTCATAGTAATTTTCAGAGTTTAAAGTCATACCTCTTTACAAACAATCTGCCTTGACAATGGAATGAGCCCTGGAGGAAAATGCTTGCATTTCAGAGATGTTAAAAATAGCAAGTTTGTGGTTTAAAAGAGCCTTTCTTGAATTGTACACATTTTTAAACATTGTGATCTGTCACAAAGTGCTCAGTACTACATCCATAATTCCGAATGTTTCTGTGCGCAGAGCTGACAGCCAAATACTGATTGTTGTGAGAACTGTGCTTTTCAGAGAAAAAAAAACACTTGTTAGCAAACCTTGTTAGCAGTGATCCACAAATGAAATGAATGTTTACTGTTGCCTGTGTGGCATTAATCCCAAAGGAAGCAACAAAATCTGTCAGAACTACCGGTTGAGATGAAATGACTAACACTATTTCTGGCTTCTCAAAGTGATCACATTTCATTATGTTTGATTTCTCTTGAGCCACTCAAATGAAAAACAGCAATGCCACAGTGTTTACACTTTAATCTTTGCCAGGAAGTAAAGAACCTATATGGCGTCTGCCCATTAAACTGATATCAACAAAGGTATTATTTGACTTCTTTTTTTTATTTGGTCAAACAGTTGTCATTTTTAAAAACAAGAAAATGGTTCAGAATTGAGTATGCCATTCTACTTATAGGAACAGAGCGGTAGTGACTCTTTCCATTTTCAGTAGGATTTGATAAACAGAAATGTAAACACAACTTGTCCATTACAACACTTGTTTTCTATAAGCCCACTACATGTTTGCATGCAGGAAGTCATCCAGCTGCTGGTGTGCTGACTGTCCATTGGCATGTCCACCCTGTTGAAAAAACCAGCATATGCTGGTTAGGTATGTTTTGACGCTGACAAAACCGGTGATACAGATTTTTGGTCAAACCGCCCAGCACTAGTCAGGTAACTATAGGTCTTTCACCAGTGGGAAATGTTTTAGCAGAAAGCAGCTCTGCCTCAGACTGCACTCTGTCTCTGTGTGGAGCCTGTAGGCGGGAATGAATGAATATGATCCGCCAGTTCATGATTTGGCTGCCTTCCTTTCTAGGGCATGAGAACATGTGGTTGTGTCATAGTAATTTTCAGAGTTTAAAGTCATACCTCTTTACAAACAATCTGCCTTGACAATGGAATGAGCCCTGGAGGAAAATGCTTGCATTTCAGAGATGTTAAAAATAGCAAGTTTGTGGTTTAAAAGAGCCTTTCTTGAATTGTACACATTTTTAAACATTGTGATCTGTCACAAAGTGCTCAGTACTACATCCATAATTCCGAATGTTTCTGTGCGCAGAGCTGACAGCCAAATACTGATTGTTGTGAGAACTGTGCTTTTCAGAGAAAAAAAAACACTTGTTAGCAAACCTTGTTAGCAGTGATCCACAAATGAAATGAATGTTTACTGTTGCCTGTGTGGCATTAATCCCAAAGGAAGCAACAAAATCTGTCAGAACTACCGGTTGAGATGAAATGACTAACACTATTTCTGGCTTCTCAAAGTGATCACATTTCATTATGTTTGATTTCTCTTGAGCCACTCAAATGAAAAACAGCAATGCCACAGTGTTTACACTTTAATCTTTGCCAGGAAGTAAAGAACCTATATGGCGTCTGCCCATTAAACTGATATCAACAAAGGTATTATTTGACTTCTTTTTTTTATTTGGTCAAACAGTTGTCATTTTTAAAAACAAGAAAATGGTTCAGAATTGAGTATGCCATTCTACTTATAGGAACAGAGCGGTAGTGACTCTTTCCATTTTCAGTAGGATTTGATAAACAGAAATGTAAACACAACTTGTCCATTACAACACTTGTTTTCTATAAGCCCACTACATGTTTGCATGCAGGAAGTCATCCAGCTGCTGGTGTGCTGACTGTCCATTGGCATGTCCACCCTGTTGAAAAAACCAGCATATGCTGGTTAGGTATGTTTTGACGCTGGGAAGCTGGTTTAAGCTGGTCCTTTGCTGGTTTATGCTGGTCCTTTGCTGGTTTATGCTGGTCCTTTGCCAGCACATGACCAGCATAAACCAGCAAAAGGACCAGCTTAAACCAGCTTCCCAGCGTCAAAACATACCTAACCAGCATATGTTGGTTTTTTTCAACAGGGCAGCCTTTGCAAGTGGTAGTGGATCAAAGTGTCTCTTTAGAGATCAGCACAGATTTTTAGACTTTCACACATTTATTGGTAAAAATTAACAATAAAACTAAAACTGAGAATTTTTTGCACTGCTGCACATGGAAAATGTTGAACAGGGGAACTAAAGAACTCTCAATGTTTAGTTTAATTTGAATGTAAAATAATGGAAAACAGTTTTTGGAGGTTGTAGTAATAATAACAGTGGGTGATGTTGACAGGAGAGGAAAAGCATAAGCTTAAGCAAGCTGCCCCAGGGAAATCCTCTGCTTCACTAAGCAGCTTGGTGCTGCTCCACAGCTGGGGTGTCATTGTTTTGATAACGGCGTACATTGAAAGGCTCGATGTGACACTCCATGACCCCTGAGTGTGTGCTGAGAGCGAGGATCTGTGCTTGTTTATTAACAAGCCCGTGTTTCTAAGCTGTCTGCCTGGAACAGTGTCAGCAATGGGTTTGAAGTAGCACTTTTCTTAGTGCTTTTAAACTGAGTGATGTGAGTGAGGTAATATTTTGTGTTGTGTTGTTGTTGTAGTATGGCCAGTCTTTTTAAACACAATAATCTTGAGTGAGGTTATGTAAGTAGAGGCCAGTGTGGGCAAACCATGATATGAATGTGTTTCTCCCATCTAAATAGGACTGTGCTGCTCATTGAAGTAAAGTTGGCTTTTTAAATCATAAGGCAAATTGACCAAAAACATTGACACATCATGCACTTCACAGATTTTTGTCCAATCAAATGCTTCCTCTAAAACTACCTGTCACAGACTAGCAGAAAATGATGGTTCATTGTAAAAAAAAAGTTGGTTGCAGCAGACAGCAGGTTTATTAAACTGCTGCCATTTTAAGATCTAATGTAATGAAGCACATCTGATTTTCTCCCAACTCTTTACATTCACTTAAGTCATCACAGGCTGTGTTTTTGTGAACCTTGTGTGGTTTTGACAGTTTAAGTGGAATAGGCACAATTACATGAATTTCCAACTTGACTGCATTAGACTTAATTGTGAGTGAAGAGTACACTGAGACCCTTTTTACAACCAAAAGAACCAAAATTCCACTCACAAGTTCCGGTACAGTGTGAGTGTGAAGAGAACTGGGTTCTTTTTGTCTTAGTTCACTTTTGGGTCAGTGAGAGATCTCTGAGAGTTTAGACTTTTTTTTTTAGAGAAGTGTGAACACCCTTAAAGTCTAAGTGAAATTCCACTAAGTAAGAGCACGTTATTGATCTAATTGTGAGCAATTAATCCATGCATATCTTTCATTTTACATTTCTTTTTGACCTTGTAATTTTAATTATTTCTTGCGAGTATGTAGATTTTGCCTACCTTGTTTCTATTTGAATGTCAACATCGCGTATTCTATTTCAGATACGCGATGTGAGATATTTATTGAATTGCAGTTCAGATGGCAATTCCAATATCTGTCAAAACAACTGCAATATGCAATTTTTTTTTTTGCCAAAATTATACAGCTTTACAACTAACCAGTATGCAGCTAAGGTTTTGTGCTCTGGCTTAAAAATATCAGTGTGTTGGATTAAAAAATGGACTCAAGCTTATGTGTAGTAACCCATTGATAACACGAAATGAGGTCAGTCTTTGAGATTCAAATTTTGTCCTTTGGTTAGTGGGAGGAAGGAACGCCTACTGATTTGCTTGTGCCTGATCAGAATTGATAATTTTCATTGTTTACCCTTGCTGCACAACAAAATCCACACTGTCCTCCAACTTGGGCTCAGAAGTACACTTAAACCCAAACCCATTTCCAAGAATTAAATACATAAGTTACAAAAACAACTAAAACGCCTCGGCAGACTTTCTCTCTTCTTTCTTTTTCAAATGCATTCACTGTGTCTTCCTCTTGATTAAAGGTGCAGTTCCAGAAGATCCAGCAGCTCCGTCTGTCACAGAACCGGGCACAGTACTATGGTGGCTCGCTGCCCAACGTCAACCAAATAGGCAATGCAAGCACTGATTTCCAGGTACCTGGGTTGCCCTCCATCCACTTATCTAAGTCTACTAAATCTGTCCAGCAAGTCATGTTCATTTAGGAGAAGATAAACCCCAGCCATATACTCAGTTTTTCTACCCTCAGATTAGCGATGTCAAGAGATGGTAATTGCAAACCTTCTCCTTAAAAAACAAAGAGTGTATTAGTCCCAACCTCTTAGTCTGCCCTTACTTCGCCTACTCCTTCAGTACATGGCTTTCCCCACAAGTACACCTGATACAGCAGTGCGCTCCAAGAGCCGAAGAACTGTATCTGTGTCTATCCCCTATGGAGAACAGTGCTGTATACCTTCAGGTGAAACCGCTCTTGTTGCTGTGAATAAAGCCTCCTTGAGACATAGAGCAGTGATCCCTACTTTTTGTCTGCCATGAGAAACCAAACCTAGAGAGGTAAAAGCACTTTGGAGTAGAGTGAATTCACCTGGGAACATAAGCTAATGGTGGCACATTGAAAACTCATGTGTGTATTTTTTGTTTGTCTATTGTTGCGTGTTTTTTTCAGTCCTGCAATATGGACGCTCTGATGTCTTTTCACTAACCATTTTTACTGTTTAAGTCATATATATAACAGATTCCTGCATTTGTGAGGAAAATGTTAACCAAGAAGGTTTTTCTCCACAGGGGACTTTTCCCTCCGGACTGGACTCTGTGCGAGGGACCAGACACCATGGTCTGGTGGAGAGGGTTCATCGAGACCGCAATCGGATCAACTCACCGCACTGCAGGCCCATCGACAAGCACGGGCGGCAGATATCCTTTTAAGTTCACTAGTGTAAAGACCTTTGTAGAGGAAAAAAGTGATCTGGGAATGTCTTTGCTTACGCTAGTAGATGCAGAATTTTTATGAGCTCACAATGTTGTATGTGTCATACATGTTGACCTTTGCTCATGTGGGCAGCTTTTTTGAGGCTTCAGGCTGTGTGATGATCCTTTATCTATTAATATTCCCTCTGCTGCACCGTGGGTGTGAATGAGTAGGTAACTGCAATAACCTGCTGTTTCTCCCCGCTTATGTTTGTTTTGTTTTTTTTCTTCCTGTGAGAACTGTTTAGAGATTTGAATATCAGTACTCTGGTGTCCTCATTAGTGTGTATTGCGCATTCTGCCGCTAGTTCTACATTCATTCAGCACGCAGGTTGGTGAAATCACTGGCTACGCCGGCCCGGCCGGTCTTTTATCCTCCTCGGTTGTGTAGTCGATGGATTTCTTTCATCAATTTTTCAGTGGTTGTCTGTAAGCTTAATCGTCTGTGGGCACAAAGATCATTTCTGTCTGCAGATTTAGCTTTGTGCTAAAGATTAAATAAAAAATAAAAAGGCCCTAATGCCTTCTGAGTTGCCATACTGTTTTGAAGATGTGGAAGGCATGAACAGTCTTCCACTGATCTAGTTTTGATTTCATATTCATACTTTTGAAGCCACCCAGAGGTTTTGAATTATCTAGTACCAGAGTAAGAAGCTACTCTGTAGTCTTTCATATTGGCAAGGCAAGGCAAGTTTATTTATATAGCACATTTCATACACAATGGTAATTCATAGTGCTTTACATAAAAGAAAAGAAAAAGAAAAAAAAAATCACAAAAATAAAACAAGGAATTTTAAGGGATAGTTTGTGAACGGTCCACTTGCTCTGATGCCGTGCCATACGGAGAGACAACAAAGTGAGGGAGACAAAGTGAGAGTTGAGTTACGTAAGCGCTTTGAATGATGGGTTCAAAGTAATTCCACACAGAGTGCCACGGCCGCCTTTGTTCTTTGAGCGGGAAAAGGCATTTGTGACCGCAGTCATGCTAAAAACTGCAAGACCTGTTTGTCAGAACTCTGGCAGCTCTGCTCTGTGAATTGAACCACTCCCTCCCCGAGAGCTGAAGATATTCTGGCTTATTCTCGTGGGTTCTTCAGAGTTTTTTTCTTCATCTCGTTGTCTGTTTGTGATTTTTGATTGTTTTCATTAATTGCTAAACAGTTGTTTCTAGTTGTCTCTGTAACTCTGAAAATGATTTTAATGAGTATTTTAATGGGTTGTTATCGTCTTCAAAGGTCATTGCTTTAGGATCAAAGCTTTCAGGTTTTTGTTGTTGTTGTTGTTGCTTTCAGTTCGAGTTCAGCATGTGTTTCGTCTCTGTGAATAAGAAGGCTTACTAACACTCATTCATTTGATGCAGCAAAGAGTCCAGATTGATGTAGTTCAATTCCCACTCGTTCTTCAGTGACTTGTTAGTAGGGCTGGGCGATATGGCCAAAAAAATTATCACGATCAAATTTTTCATATCAGTCGATATTGATAATTATCACAATAAATTATAAATCTTTATTTCTTTCAGGTTTAAAGGCAAATTTTTGCTCCCAAGTGAAAGTTGTAGAAACAAGACTTGTGGTTTTAAACTACTCTTTATGGTCAGAGCGTGACAAACACTTCACACTTTTGAATTCTTTACACTTTTCCAGTCATTCCAGACACGTATCCTCAGCACAGTTTGCAGTGCAGCCTGCAATAATAATAATAATAATAATAATAATATTAAATTTTTTAGTCTCTAATGGCGCTTTTCCACTGCATGGTACGGCTCAGTACGGTTCATTTTGGGGGGTTTTCTACTGGGTACAGTACCTGGTACCTGGTACTTTTTTTAGTACCACTTCAGTTGGGGTTCCATGTGAACCGTACCATTACCAAAACGTGACGTGTAAACTCTGCTGATCACAGATTGGCCGGAGAGAATCGTCACTACCTGCGTCACTGAATTTGCGACACAAACACAAAAGAACCGCTAGATTTAAATCAGCACAGCCAGCGAAGGATCGAACGCAACCGTTTTGAATGAGCGCACCTTTTTTTAACAACCAAATCGTTTTGTTGTCTGTTGTGGAAGAACAGACGTTCCTCTCGTTGATTAGTAGAGGAGTGGATCCAGCGAGAGCTTGATGGGGCGTCGTGGAATGAAAAAGTTTTTTTAGGAGTCGCGGCAGTAGAGGCGGCACAACTATAACGACATGTGAATAATCCCACCCACTCTAAAGCGGTACTGAACTGCAGTGCAAATGCAAACCGTGCCGAGCCGTGCCGAGCCGTACCGAGCCGAGTCGTACCACGCAGTGGAAAAGCACCATTAGAAATGCACATTTGACAGTAGCTTGAGTTGACAGTAGTAGTAGCTTGAGTTAGGTAAGATATTGGCACCATAGACTGTATAAAAACATGGACGTAGTGTCCGTGACGTCACCCGTAGGTTCCTGAAGAGCGTTTTTGAAGCTCAAAGTTGGCGGAGCCGGCCGTCGCCATCTTGGCAGCGCGTCAACGTGCTTCACTCCCGAATAATCGAAAAGCTGGTTGCTGAAACCACGCCCACCTAGCTCGACGGTGATGACAGCAGAGGCAATCCACCTGTCACTCAAGTGGCCACGCCCTTAATTATGCAGAACTTTAAGGCTTAATATAATTTAAATGGATGACTTATAAAAAAATTCACCCCCCTCACAGTTGTCATGAAGGGCAAATTAGCTATATAGACCAAAAGCATATTTTTGAACCAGGCTGTAAACATGTTTTTTTCTGCTGTAAATTGACAATTTTAACATGGGGAGTCTATAGGATTGACTCCCTTTTGCAGCCAGCCTCTAGCGGCCAGTTGACGAATTACAGTTAAAGTCACTTCCGTGTTGGCTTCACGAGAGAGAGCGGGAGGTTGCCACTTGATTGGCACCAAAAATGTTTTGACCACTTTATGTAAACCACCATTTTATTGCTTCTTGTTTAAGCATCTGCATCAGTGTTGGCTTATTATTAGCATCTGTAGGATTGTTTTTTTTTTGTTTTTTTGTAAATATGGGCAGTCGTGGGTTTTGGCCTTATTTATGCTTATTTCTGAGGCAAATTGCTTATTTTGAGCGTATTTTGTTGGACCCAGCCTGATCTGGCAACACTGTCTTGAGTCAAAATGTGTGAAGAAAGGGGGGGAAAAAACCCCGAATAAAAATGACTTAAAGCACTTAAAATAACAAAAACTATATTTAAAATTTTAAATGAAAAGTGAAAACAAAAATAAATGCTAATTCAAAACATTAATAATCGTATATAAAACAATAGTATATAAAAAATACTAAAATAACACTGGCTGCACTCAGAACACTTTGGCAACCACATGGCAACGCCATGAAACCCACGTACAATGCCCTAGTATTATGATGACAGGTTTTTTTTATAGCTAATGCTAATCTTCCTAAACTCTAAACTACAATCTGCATTTAATCTAAATAAACAGAGACTCTCTAAATAAACATTTGCTCACTAGGATTTTCTCTTAATGTCTGAAGCATTTCATTTTCATGCCTCTCTAATTCTGCTGAGTGAGAGAATGTTATGAGGAAGGATTTAAAGCCCAAATTTGCTTTCACTCTGATTTTTTTCCCTTTAGTGCCAGATGTCCCTCACAGTGTTGGCTTGTTTTGCTCTCATCGATTCAGCCATGTCTGCCAAGATTAGACTCTCTCACAGGCTCGCTAGCCAACCTGTCTCTAACCAACTTCCTCCTAACCCATGTAGTTGCCTTCGAGCCGTATATATCATGCCAGATGCCTTGTTCTTGTTTTGTCTGTATTTCTGGAATGATGTCCAATTGGAGAAAGAGCGGTGTGGGTCGAGTGTGAAATGTCAGAGAGAAAAGGTTAGCTCACCCACGCCATCCTGGAGCTTCTGAGACGAAGGTGCTGTCACAGCCACCCTATCTCTCCACACCGCTTCAGCAGCCACAGGCTAATTAGATTTTAGAAAGGATCCCTCGTAATCCAAGCCGTCTGGCTTGTGTCTTCAACGCTTTCCCCCTCCCCAGGCCGAGGATCAACAGAATTCATACAATGTCACGCCAGGAATTTCATACATATGATGGCGGTTGTCGATGTGTACAGTCTTATTGAAGTGTGTTTGAATGAGGTGGCCTAAGACGGTTTTTCTGTGGCCTGGCTTTGGCTGCTCATTGGTTGGATGTTCTGTGTTGTGTCATCATGGTTAGGGTCACGGGGTGGGCTGGTGGTTGAAAGGTTGGCATGAAGAGCTCAGTCTCTTATTACTGCAGCAGAACTGATGACTAGGTTTTCCAGGCCTTACCAGATGTTGAACAGAAAAAGACTGCCCTGCTTTCTGTCTTGTAAATCCACCCCTCCCCCCGTTTGGATGTGAGAGTCTTGGCACAGATGGACATGACGAGGCAGCATTGTCAACATCGGCTTGAGTTGAAGAAACAATGTTTACTCAAGGAGTTCTTCAGCTGGGCTGTTTAACTTTTGCAAGAGTGTTGAGTGGATTTGGACAGCACAAGTAAGTTTTTAAAGGGGTTGTATCATGAGAAATCAAATTAGATCAAATTAGTTTTTTTGCAGTATGAAACATGATATCTACACTTCTTCAGTCTTAAAAGATCTATCAATCTGCGGTAACTAAGCTGCAAAATAGAGATTGAAATCAGTTTTGCCTGCCTGGTCTTCAGAAACATTGTCCTTCTAAGTCAAAGTAAGGTTAACAAGATGAGCATGATAGATTCAGTTATTCTTAAAGTTGGCATGAGATTAAATTCACCCTATCTGTTTTGTAAATACATATTATAGATCTCACTGTGAATGATTCATCTACAATATGTCTGATTTATTAATAATTTTTTTTCCTCGTCACACCTCGCTTTTTCAGAACGATGAGTTTTGTAAAAATCGATGCGTTTCAAAAAGGCGGGGCATAGAGGAGAAACAATAATGTACAGTATGTGGAAAATAATGTGTTTTTTGAACTTTAAACCGCATAAACACATTTCATTACACCAAATACACAAAATAACGTTCTTTTTAGCAACATCATATGACCCCTTTAATCAAAATGTGATAACTCCATCTTCTGGTGAAAGACAGATTAAAAATTCCTCTTGATTTGTCACAAAGATATTGTTTTCTAGCTGGCTTAATATAGATGACGTTTGTTCAAACTGCGAAAAGGCTTTCCAAGATGACCATTGTTTTCCAGCATAATTAACTCATTGAGTTACATTTATACTCTACCATTCAATAGTTTGGGATCAATACGATTTTTTTGTTTGGTTTTATTTTGAAGTTAGTACTTTTATTCAGCAAGGATGCTTTAATCAAAAGTGAAAGTAAAGGCATTTATAATTTTGCAAAAGATTTTTATTTCAAATTAATGCTCGAAAGAAAACAACAATTAAAGTCATGAACTGCATTTTTTATTATTTTATAGTTCTCTGAGATTCACATATAATGTTAGTGTGAGTTTTACATATAAAACATCATAATTTAGAAGTAATAGGCTATTTTCTATCCTGTTTTTGAGCCTCTCTGCAGAATGGTCTGTTTTTATAGGTGGGGCGCATTCAAGACTCGCAAATAAACGCCCACTACTGTGATTGGCTAACAGGTTCGCTTATTAAAATAACAGATGGGCGCTGCTGTGACGTAAGTTACTCTGAAAATAACATGGGTCATTTGGGTTAAAAACGTATAAATACTCAGTATATATCAACCGGTCAGGAACAGACAATGCAATATTGGTAAAAGCACGTTTACTCACACTCATGTGTTGCGACATGCTGTTGGATCCACTCTAGTCAGACTCAGCGGTGCATCATAGTTTACTTTCAGTCTCTCTGAAAAGCCTGCATCATGCTGTCTTGATTACCAGCAGTATACCATACCAACAGTATGGCTGGCAGCCATATCACTCTCTAGCCCAAGACTGATTACCCTCTGAAGCTAAGCAGGGTTGAGCCTGGTCAGTACCTGGATGGGAGACTAGGTTGCTGCTGGAAGAGGTGCTAGGGAGGCCAGCAGGGTGTGTATAGTATGGGGATGATGGGGACACTATACTGTCAACAAGCAGCATCCTTCGGATGAGACGTTAAACCGAGGTCCTGACTCTCTGTGGTCATTAAAAATCCCAGGATGTCTTTCGAAAAGAGTAGAGGTGTGACCTTGGCCTCCTGGCCAAATTTGCCCATTGGCCTCTGATCATCATGGCCTCCTAACAATCCCCACATCTACTGATTGGCTTCATCACTCTGTCTCCTCTCCACTAAACTGGTGTGTGGTGGGCGTTCTGGCGCACTATGGCTGCTGTCGCATCATCCAGGTGGATGCTGCACACTGGTGGTGGATGAGGAGATACCCCCTGACAATGTAAAGCACTTTGAGTTCCTAGAAAAGCGCTATATAAATGTAACAAATTAATTGATTAAAAATAAATTTCCGTAGCAAACAAACAGTGTTTCACTGACGCGATCTGGAGCTCTTTGCTCATTTTACCCCGTGTTTACACCCGACACGAGTGGCGCAACGCAACTATAGAAAACAGAACCCATTATTGTCACTGGATGCGGCACGGATAGACACAACAAATCCCCAACTGACGTCCCACTCTATTTCTGACATACAAGCATTCGAGGGTGGAAAATGATCTCGAGAAATTAAAATGTTTTTGAGATGTATGCCTTATATACTGTATATAAATAAGGTTTGAAGCGTATGTGATTGTGACATTTACCTGTGAAAGCTTTGGAGGATTTCCTTGACTGAACTACGCTGAGAGCTCTCCATATGGAACGATGTACCTTTCTCCTCCCTCTGACAACAGCTGGAGAAGGTGAGTCCTGCCTTTAAAACTATTATGACCCATATAGTCCTACACACACCCATCCACTGCCAACAAATATGTGTCTGTGCATTCATTACATACATTGTTACATTCTACTTCAAGTAGTATTTGATCATATCTCCTGTCAGTTGCAGGGCAGAGTGCAGAGATTGTTATCTTTAAATGAAGCCATTGCAGTGACATCAAGTGGTGTTGAGAGATCATGTCACATTAGAGCGAGTGTTAATGTGTGTTTTGCATTTACATAGGCTATCCCCACAGATGCCTGAAAAGAAAACAGTAATGGCACATTTGTTTTGTTAGCATGTGGAAAATCCGCATCCGTAGTGATGATAGATAACACTAGCAAAAGGTTAGATAAAGCAAAAGTGTTCAAAGAGACATACACACATCATTTAGTCGTTTTCAACTTCTTTCTCTGACCACAAACGCTCACACGTTTGCTTTGCACAAATGTCACTCTTCTCGGTTCAGCCGTGGTGAGGCATAACCATTGGACGGATTTCCTCATTTGTTTACCGAGGAGTGAATTGCAGCCAGTAATAAAAGGCTTAAGGAAGCTTCTCCTCATCATAGTCGTGTTTTGAATGCAGGCTTGGCCGACGGCCAGTATGCCTTCTTACCTACAATCTGCTTCAGCCTCCATGTTGACTCTGCGACTTGTAAAACTTTCAGAGTCCACGCCCTGTGGCATTGTTTACACCTGAAAACTGGTTGGCCTGATCAGTTTTATCACAGCCAACTATTCCCACTGTGGCGAAACACTGCTGTGACAGCCATATGCCATAGAGCGGCTCACTACACACTAGATCCAGGGCTTTATCTTACGTACTTTTATTGCTTTTAGATTGAAATGTGAAATTAAATTACAGTTCAAACATTGACGAAGTTTGGAATAATAAAAGAGGTCTCTGAGGCTCATCAAGGATGCATTTATTGTAAATTACAAACAAGTTATTTATTCCTGTGATGGCAAAGCTGAATGAATGAATGATGGCACAGTCTTCAGTGTCAAATGATATTACAGAAATAATTCTAATATGCTGTTTTGCTGCTCTATTAATGTTAAAAACTATTTTAGCTGCTCAATACGTGGAAATCGTGATACATTAGCATTCAAAAGTTTGAGGTAAGCAAGATTTTAAAAAAAAAAGAAAAGAAATTAATGCTTTTATTCAGCAAGGCTGCAGTAAATTGATCAAAAGTGGCATTTATAATGTTTAAAAAGATTCCATTTCAAATAAATGCTGAACATGTTCTTTTGATATTTCTATTTATATATATATAAAAAAAAAAATCACAGAAATATTAAGCAGCAGTTTTAACATTGATACGAACCATTATTAATTAATAACTTCGCATCAATTATAATTGATGATAGCTGAGCACCAAATCAGCATATTAGAATGATTTCTGAAGGATCATGTGACACTGGAGACTGATGAAATTGCTGCCATAACAGTAGAATTAGAATTTATTTTAAAGGTCCCATATTGTCAAAACGGAAATTTCCTGGCTTTTTTCATGATAACTGAGGTCTAGGGGCTATTTAACTACCATATAAGTTTCAAAACAGTCAGTCCACAGTAAAATTCACACAGCCTGCATAAAGTAGCTGTGATTTTTCATGAACCGTTGTGACTTCCGTAAAAAGTTGACATCAGAACTACACAGTCACCGCCTTCAGTCACCACCCCGAGCACCGCCCAGCGTCCCACTCTCCTTTTGCCAAACCCCCAGACAACATTGCGGAAACATGTCGAAAAGGTTAACTTTAACCACGAAACCAGATCGGCCGACCTGTAACGTTACACTCTCACTCAAAGGATGGACGATCTGCCAGGGTTGTTACTATGAGGTGGATCACATCTAACGTGTAGAGTAAAGACAAACTCGCCGTGTCTATCTAGTCATGATGAAGATGTATATACATTTCAATTTCAGCAGGCAACTATTTTTACAGCTACATTATTGTTCCAGCCACAATTAATCACAACAATGTATATACAGTTACAAATGATTATATATCAATTGTCAGTTTGTTGTTTTACACACATGCACACAGACATTATTTCATACACGACATAGTCGTGAGATGCAAGAAACATAGACATATGGCAAGACATCTGTAGACGCGCCCATAACAACAAAAGACAATACTTAATTTAACCTTTTCTGATAAGAAGTGTGTGCTGCAAACGCGAGCGTTTTTGACGATCGTTTCTGTCCTGTCTGCTCGTTTTATCGCGTTTAACCACAGCTGTCATCGTTTTTTTTGTCTGGCAGTGGCAGCAGATATGCGATTAAATTTCTAATTTGAGGCTGTATTACGTCGATTCTGGCACCCAACATCATAACAAGATGATATTGTAAGCTCCTTATGTAGCCAAATCTGTGCTGGTTTGAATGGGCCGCCTTCAGTTTCCCCTTTGTTTTGCTGCCTCCAGCTAGCGCTGTGACGTCGGCTGACCCTAGGCTGCGTTTACACTGGCACAAAAAATCCGATCTTTCGCTCACATCTGACACAGATCAGAATTTGTTGCACACATGTAAACACAAAACCCGCACGAGATCCGATTTTTTTACATCCGATCTGAGCTAGTGCTGTGTTCAAAATATCGATACGACGATGTATCGTCACAGATATTTGACAATACGAGTACCGATACAGCTGGCCCTGTATCGATATTGTGGCACGTGTGCAGCAGTGGACCACGCTTAATTTGTTTAAAATTTTACAACGTTTAAAATTGAGTAGAAAAGTGCGAGGTTTCTAAAAAAAGAATGAATAGAGCATAATAATATATAGGCTACAACACGGTTTAATCTGGCCACAGAGGAACACAACTGGGTTGCCTGATATAAAGAGACGTAATCCCCGAAACAGAGCTTCACACTTGCGCAATACGGAAATATCTGCTAAACGTGCTACTTATCTTTGTCAACCTGGCAACCATGTGCACGCGCTCTCTCTCCACTGTGGATAAACGCGCTTGCTTTCTGAAAACACCGGTTAGCTTGCAGTTTAGCGATCTCCACTTCAATATTCTATTCTCAGAAAAGTGTAATTCATCAAGTGTTCATTTATGAGAGAGCGAGAGAAAGAGAGAGGCTGTGTATGTATGAATTACCACCGTTTTGCCGCGTTTCTCTATTAACAGTGAAGCTGTGGCTTTAATTCTTTGAGAAACAATGATGTTACCAGCTCCTTGTTGAGAAAGATAATGTAGCTCTTGAGCGATTAAG